GTGCTTTCGAGTAGTCACCCATGTCGCTGTACACTCCACCGATGTTGCCGTATGATTTAGCCAAATCAGGATGATTCGAAGGCAGAGCTTTTTCGTAGATTTTATGTGATTTTTCGTAAAATTCAAGTGCTTTCGAGTAGTCACCCATGTCGTTATACACTTGACCGATGTTGCTGTACGAAGTAGCCAAATGAGGATGATTCGAAGGCAGAGCTTTTTCTTTAATTTGATGTGATTTTTCGTAAAATTCAAGTGCTTTTAAGTAGTCACCCATGTTATTATACACTTGACCGATGTTGCTGTATGAAGTAGCCAAATCGGGATGATTCGAAGGCAGTGATTTTTCGTAGATTTTATGTGATTTTTCGTAAAATTCAAGTGCTTTCGAGTAGTCACCCATGTTATTATACACTTGAGCAATATTATTGTACGTAGGAGCTAATGAAGGATCATTTTTCGGAAGAGTTTTTTGCTTGATTTTCAGAGATTGTTCGTAAAATGCAACTGCTTCTTCATATTGTCCTTGATCGTCTTTCAACCATCCGAGTTGATGATAAACATGTGCTCTATCACTATCATCCGATGCCTGTTCTAGTAGTACCATATATAGTTCTTCGGCCTTGTCGAATTGACCTATTTTGAGTAACAATTTTCCCATTCGATCCCATCCGGTACCGTCGACTTCTTGTCGTATGTAGTCAGTTAATTCACGAAGTAGTGGATCATCATCTGACGTAAGTTGAAGATCGACTTGATAAAGTGCATGTTTGTTGTGAATTTTTCGCACTTCACCAATGCGAAAGATGGTGTGCATGGAGAAGAGAATTTCCTCTTCTTCCTTATAATAGCTCACCTCCTTGATGGAGGCGAATGGAGTTGATGATACTGTAGGATCAATAGTTATTTGGAATAGAATTCCAACCATATCAGTCATTTTCAAAGCTTCTTTGGCGAAAACAAGGGAGACATCTGAATTTGTGCTTGTAGATAAAAAGTTGTTAAAAGAAATAAGCCCACCTTTGTTTTCTGCGAGCTTTTGAAAATCTGCTTTCGATAGGCCTTGCCCTCGAAAGACATTGAAGATCTCTCCATCAGAGTGACTGACCTGTTGTTTGTGTAAATGTTCAATTTGTCGATGCACATCACATAAAAAGAAACCCATTCGGATCATTATATCACCATTGAGTGTTCTTAATGCGCCATTCAACATTTTGTAGGTAAAACATTGGCGTGTATACCACCAAATGGCGTTGGATGCTTGATATGTACGTTGAAATTCTTGGATAATTTTGATTTCATTCTTATTGCCTTGATATTGTTCTTGGCAGTAGGTGACCAAAACTTGGACGGCTTGTTGTTCATGTTCGATTTCAAGGAGTATTTCCTTGAATATTTGTGAATACATAAAAGAAGGTTCTAGCTGATCTAGCTTCTTGCTAGAACCTCCTGCATTGACACTAACAATGCTTACCGACATGTGATCTTGATTGTATTGTTTGATTGCTGTTGCCAATTTGTCACAAATATGTTTGATTGAGGTGTGAACACCTTTAATTTTCGGCCAATTTTGTGCCCATACTTGATGCCGTTGTTTATTGCCACAAAATATAAAAATGGCATTTAATTTTGCCATATCATGAATCTGCGGCACTAAATGTTGTCCAAATGCACCTGAGGAGATAACGAATGAGATCTCCTCTTGATTGTCCATAAGCTGTTGTATACATTGTTCAGCTGTCTCACATGGCTGGACTTGGTTAACGACAGCACGTAATTGTTCCATGGTATTTTGGCAATCTTGATTTGCCATGTCGATATTTCCATCGACCCATATGACCAAAAAATTTTCAGCCATACGGTGTCTTTGATATCGAGTCATTTTTGATGCCAGTTTTGCTGCTTGATTAGTAAATAGATTGTTGTTTGAATAGATATTACTTTTGCTATTTATACGTTGGATGTCGACTGTTTTTTTTTCGTTGAAACTCAAGGTCAAACTTCACCTGGATGTTATCAAAAGTATCGTTGTCAGTAACAAAAGGTAGAGAAAAAAAACCCAGCAATATCATTTATTTTATGGTTATTCTTTCCAACTTTCGTTTTCTTATCATCTATATACGTAGTTAATAGTCACTTGAAAGTCAGTGCGTTGGATGTCTTATCTCATTCAGTTTTTATTTGTCTTTCATTATCTCGAAACAAATAAAGATATTGTCAGTTTTATTTTTTTATTATGCATAAGACTTGCTGTCTGATAATGTGAGCAAAAGAAAATGAAGAATAAATTCAATATTGTTACAAACAACAATAGAACAACAGTTTCTGCTTGCTCCCACAATATACTGTCCATCATTGACGAGTTGTTCAAGTAAAATAATAATAGTTCGAATATAATTGAGTATTGAAGTACGTATTATAAATTCCAGGAAAGTACTAAAATATATAGATATTTTGAGATTTTTACGTCATATGTATTGAGAAATAAGTTTTTTCTGAGTATAATAAATATTTTGTTAATACAAATCACGATTTTCAAATATTTAACCGTTGATGGAAAAGACAGTACAAAGAAAAAGAAATCTTACTTGAAAATGAATTACTATGTGATTACAATTATTCAGTTAATTTTTACAGCGTATTACAATAAATTATTTTAGGTTTTTATTAATTACATATGATTCATATTTATCATGATATTAGTTACATTTATAATGTCATTATTTTCATCTCTTTTGCATTTTTTGTAGTTTTCTTTCCATCGATACTTACATGGTTTAAAAGTGGTCGTTAGAAAGACAGAAAATTCTCTTTATATAAACAAAATATTCATTATACTTTGAAAAATATTTATCTATATATTTAGGAATGAAACTCGTGCAAGCTTTTATTGATTTGCTATTAGAATATTTTAAAAATTGTCTACTTGCAGTTATGGATTTTAAAATAAAATTAACCTTTGGTTTTTTTTGTCTATTTCGATAGAACAGTTATTATTTGAATGAAAATAGTTTTATTTCTGGATACTGATGCCATATGTGATAATGCAAGTTGCATTTTATTTCCAAGTAGTATTAGACAAGTACTACTATATTCCCGTTTTTTTCAGTGTGTGAAATGTAATCATGACCGTATCTCAGTAAGACTGACAGAATGAATTTATCATCACTCATAAGCTTGTTAATATGTTTTTTGATTTATATTAAACTCATTTGGAATATATATGGTATAATAAAAAGACATCTTGTTCCATTGATATCCAAGATTCATAAATAACTAATATTCAAATTGTGTTTGTCCACATGTGAGATTCGTACAATTTTAATGTGCACCACAATGACAATGAGAAAATTTCTGCCTTGTGTGTTAAAAGAATGTTCGAATCTATGTACGAAGTATGATTAGTATAATGTTAAAAAGATCATTAAAATCGAACGACTGTTCAAGAATTTCTTATTTTCACCGTAAGAAAGCATCTAAGTGATATCAATGAGAATGACTGTTTCAAAAACCTTCATTTCGAGAAAAAAAAAACAGGAAACAATATGAAATATGTTCTATCATCGACAAGTTTGACTTCTGGCATTCGGCTCAGTCAAAGTACTAAAATAAAACGTATGGTACTGTAGTAAAATTTAGTCTAAAAAACATGTTGAAAAATAAATCAATGATCAAGATTGGATCACTTTGATATGGCTGGATCTTATCGAAAAAAAAATAGTAATTCGATTTCCTACAACAACAAAAAATATTTAACATGTCAAAGTGTAAACATACGATATGTTTTTTATTAGTGTGAATGTATACTGTTTGTGATTATATCGTATGAAAAAAAAACTGTTAATTCATTTTTTGGACAAAGAAAGTCTTTTGGATACATATTGATATGTACCAATAAAATTTACTTTTTCTGATTTGAATGTAGATATTCTCTTCATCCACACCATACCCTATTGTCCAGATTTAATGGTATGCGACATGAATCATATCCTTATGTAAAGAAAAGCAAGAAATAATTGTTTCTCATATATTCACATTCTATTCAGCAGAGAACTAAAACAGCTTAATTTTTCATATAGATCAGTTGAATATATAAGCAAATAAATCAAGTATTTTCCATGAAAACATTCTATAACTTAATCTTTCTGAAGACATCAAACATAGCTAAATCTCGTGGTATACAGTACAAAATGCATTAGAAGGTTTTATATTATTAGTCAAAGGTTGCTGACATCGACAAAATATGTAATATAAAATAGAATTTTATAAGAAAGTACAGACAATTTCGCTGATAACAAGTCCCTTCTTTTTGTAAACTTTGTTGTTTTTCAACCTTTAAGATTTTATTAATAAAATCTTAATCAAAATAGATTACAAATCATCCTAACAATAAGCCGATCTAACTCAGAATTTAGCGAATTTTATCGTAATGATAAAGTCACATTATTTATTAGTTTTGTTAATCCCCAGTAAGATTTTGTATCAAAGAAAGAATTTAAAACACAAAGAACTCAGTTGCTAAGAAAAAACAATAAAAGAAAAAAACTAAAAACAAACGAAAAAAAAGCTTTTATTTTTTCTTTTCTTTATAATTTTTCTGATGAATGATGATCATGAATAGTTTTTATTCTTGTATGATCATCATAAGATTTTTTCATATGTTATTTAAGCATTTTTTCACTTTGATATTTAGAAAAAGCTTGTAATAATTCTGGACAATTTTGTTTTGTTGCTATATCAATAACACTTTCATTTTTATCATTTAACCAACATGCATCACCTCCATGTCTTTTATCAAAAAAAAAATTAAATTTTCTTATTTTCTTATTTAATTTCTAATTAAAAAATATAAACTTACTTGAGAAGAATTCTTAATGGTTCAGCACCATCAAGTCCTAATAAACAACATTCATATAATGCTGTATTACCTCGCCTATAAAGCAAAACAAAATCAATATTTCTTAACATTTTGAATATCAATTTTTATCTGAACAAAAAAAGAAAAAATACACAATCAATCTTTGATTTCAATTGATATTAAAATCTCGATATATATATATATAGAACTTACGGTCCTTTTTTATTACGACGTTTTATTTTTGTTCCTTGTGATTTTTCTCTTGGATATTCATCTATGTAAAAAACAAAAAAGTTTTGTTTTTTTTTTGCAAAGAATACTTTTGTCTACTATCAGAATAAATTGTATTTGAATATGGTGAACTTCGTTCACTATTTATTGGATAATATTCATTTGTTTCATTAATAAAAAATGGTGATTGTGAAAGACTTTCTGGTTTACGAAATATTGTTTGTATAGTTACTTCATATTCATTTTCATGTAGAGTTGCATGAATCATATTACCCATACGTGATTCACCTAAAAAAAATAATTAAATAATATATAAACTTTTTTAATATTAATATATAAGATATATGTATAGAGAGAGAGAATTTATATTTTAAATAATAATTATTATTCATTATAACAAAATAAAAGTATTTGTTTTTTTTAAATATTAAAGATCTTTACCAATCAATGATTGAAAATCTGGTCGATTAACTGCATAAGTTTTTAAATGAGCACAAATATGATCTAATTGTTGTCGCCAATATCCTTTTCCTGGACTTGTAGATGTTAATATTGGACGATATCCTTTTAATTCTTTTTCATTTAATAATTTTTTATTTTGTGTTATAATTAAATCAATATCTTTTGCACTTGGATAATAAATTCCATATGTTTGTGTTGCAACTTCTTTTTTAATTGTTGAATATGATTGATGAGGATTAACTGAATTACGTGTTAATGTCTATAGAAAATAAGAATCTTTTTTTTTTGTTTTCTTTTTATTCTTTAATTTTAATATACACTAGCAATCATTGATGACGATGAAATATTCAAATCATTTTAAAGACGTGTATCAATAATACGTAATGGTGGTTCAAGAACACATCCATATGTTGAACAAAATTTTCCAAATGAATCATTATTAGTATGACATTTTGTACGTTGTATTGATGTAGATGTATGTTCAGGATATGCATCACACCAATCACAAAAACGAGCATTAAGATTATTTAAACGAAAACATTTTGAACATGTTATCATCATTGTATTTGTTTGTTTTGATATTGTTGGAATTGAAATTGAAGTTCGTTTTTTCCTATTGAAATATAAATACGGAAAAAAAATAAATAAGATTTTTTTTTTGTTTACTGGTGATGTCGATGTTGGCATTAATACATTTTCACAAATATAACATGTTGGTAAATGTATTGAATTTGTTGATTTACAATGAGGACATAGAATTCTTGTCTAGAGAAGAACATTAAAATTTGATTAATTTTTTTGAAATCTGATTTTGAGAAGTTGGTCGCTGTTGTGGTTCTTTGGATACTGGTGTTTCACATACAACACATGTGTTAGAATTAAATGGAATATTAGATTTACAATTTGTACATATATTAGTCTAATTAAAGAAACATTATCCGTGTAAAATAAGATAACTACTATTCATTTGTAAAGTAATCAATACTGTTATGTAGAACAATACATGATCCATCGAAGGATATACTCTTTATCAAATTTTACAGTTCTGAAAAGTCATATACCCCCCCCCCCCCCCTCCCCGAATTAAGGAAATATAACCGATTTTCTAATGTTATAATAATTAAAGTTATTAATTAATTATTCATTTTTTAAATAATTTTAATTAAAAACTGACCAAAAATTGACCCCCAATAGAAAGCCATCCAAAAAATAGCGATGTGCCAAGACACTGTATAAGGGCATGCACTTTTATTCTGGGGGGGAGGGTTACTAGTTAACAGGTATTATAGCAATGATGGCTGTTGTAAGATATGACTGTCGAGGACAAAGGCAACCAACTATGCAACTTTTTTCGTGTTCTATAAGTGTGATTCCTGAGAATAGAAAAATATATGACTTTTCTTTTTGTTTTTAGGCTTCAGAACATCGAATGTGATTCGGATATGTAGTTCTATCACATTCAACATATGCTCGGGTTTCTTATAAGAATTAATAGCTTTCTCAAGATTCTGAAAGAGAAAAACGTTTTTTTACTGTTTTCGAAAGACTCATATATATATGTCAGATATAGGTTATTTTTGAGATCATATTACTCATCATTGCTCTTATATATCTTAACTGGTATAATGACTTTTATGAAAAAATAATTTCATAAATAACTATGAGTTGTTCAACAGAATGGGATTAGGTAGTTTCTTTTTTTGAAATGAAGGGTAGTCATCATATTCGATAGAGTTATTTTGAATTACTGAATAATTATCCGGTGGATTATGAGTTAGTTTTTGCCAAGGTAGACCACATTCCGTACAAAATCGTGTATATAAATCATTTGATTTAGGTGCAAAACAATGTGCACATCTAGAAAAGAAAAAACAAAGCTCAAATAATAAAATAATTTTGTTTCGATAAACCTTAAGACATTTGTTTGTATTTGAGAATTTGAATATGTATAATTAGTTGGATTTTCTTGTACTAATGAATCAATTGTTGAACGACGCATTGATTCTATATAGAAATTTGATTAATAATAAATAAAATTACTTTTTTCTTTTTGATACCAGATAATTTTTGTTGCATTTGTTCATTTTCATTTTTGCATCTTTCTCATTAATTCCTATTGAAGTAAAATTATAAAATCAATTAATAAATATTTAACTGAATTAAATATGTAGAAAAAAGTTCGATTGCTTTACTAATTGTATGTTTACAAATTGTTTTTTAGATATATTCTTATCGGCGAAATGAAAAATATTTCTCAATAAATTATTTTCGTTAACATCTATCTCTATGTAAAGTTTCAAGTCGAAATTTAAAAACTAAAATTGAAGATGTGTCAATGACTTTGATAAGTTTTGAACTTCATAGAAAAAAAAACATTTTAATGAAGAAATATCGATAGACAAGCATTAAATTACTACTATTATATTAGTGATCTTCTAATTGAACTCTTGAGATATGAGAAATTCTTGAATATCAATTTTTTTTAAATAAAATTAAAGATAAATATTTTTGCAAACTAAAATATATTTATATTGAAAAATTTAATATTTAATTAAACTTTAACATTTTGATTAATCACTTATAATAACATCATAAACTTACTCATATATCCAACAGATTATTTTATTTTCGTAATATTTTATGAAAAATTCAATGTATTCAGATATGTTTTCTACAAAAATCGAATTCATAGTTTCTTTTAATGAAAACTCATCTTTTTCTAAAATATACTTTTTCAGATTACTTAAATAAATACTAAAAATAATATATCTTTCACTTGATTCAAATTCATTGTACATTTCATATAAAAATAGGTATGATTTCCTAATAAAAAAACAAAAGTATTCTATACAGTATTTCAATAAACATGAGATAAGTAAATTTCTATTGAATTTATTTATTATCTATCATTTTGAAATTTTTTACCTTTCGTTCTTGTTGTAATTCATATAAATATCGATTTTCATATTCATCCGATAATGAATGATCTGATGGAATAATTTTAACATCAAATATTTTTGTTACTATAACACTTTCTCGAATTCCATCACTAAATAAATTTTAATAAAAAAATAAAAATTCTTCAAACTGATTTTTTTGTTTTCCCAAATATCTTTACCGTGATGCCTGTATTAGCTATATCTCTTGGTATATAAAATGGTTTTTTATATTGTATAGTCGAACGTCGTGTTGCTAATGTTATAAATGCATCTGGTTTTGAACCATCTAATGTATAATAAATATCAACATCATTTGTATCACTACATATTTCAATCAATGTATTTGTATCAATGGAAGATTTTTGTGTATATCCAACACGTAATGGAATTATTGACGGAGCAGATATTGAACCAGCAGTCGTTTTGTTTAACAATTCAAAAAGTAATTCAATTGACATGATGAAACCATATCAAACTTTTTTATGTCAAATGGTTGTCTATCATTTTGAAATTTTTCATTACGAAGTTGTACTTCACGTCTTTCACGTTCTGCTTGTTCTCTATAATAATAATAATCAAAATTTCTTTAATCTTGTTCTTTTTTTTTGGGGATTCTAAATAAAGACTTACAAACGAACTTTAATTATATTTAATTTATCTTTATATTTTGATGTTACATTAAGAACATTTTGTGAAAGATATTCAGATTGAGCATTAATTTCAGACTAGAACAAAAAACAAATGACAATAAAAAATTATTTTAGTCTATATATAAATAATTATGTTGGATTCATCGACTCAGTCTAGAGGAGTATTATATATAAGATAAAAGAAAAACTAAAAAAGTGCAGAAAAATATGCTTATGGAAATATTTTATCTAAGAAATTTAATAGTGAATAGAAAAACACGAAGAGAAAAAAAGGAGAAGCAATAATAAATCATATGTATTAATACCAATTTTTTCCGTAGCTGAACTAGTCGAATCATAGAATAATATGTACACGATATGTAAGAGAATGAAATTATTATTATTATTATTTTTTGTATTTTTTTTCTTTACCTTTTCTTTTTCCAATTGTTCACAACGACGTGATGTTTCTTCAAGTACAATTTGTACATGTTCTAATTGATGTGTAGCTATACGAATACGTTCACATACATCATCATATTTTATTTTTAAAGATTTATAATCATTTTCAAATTCATCTGCACGTCGTCGTTCTTTTTCCAAATCAACATTTAAATTTGATTCAATCTATATTTATTAATAAATATATTAATTAAAACAAATAAAATTTTAAACAAAAAAAATAATTTGTTCTTGACAGAAAATAAATCATGGCTATATATATATACGATAAAATTTTCTCATTATGACATGAATAATAACATACAATTTCCATAATGTGAGTAACATAAATGATACTATGATAAACAATATTGACTAATTAGATAAAAAAACAACAACAGTATTTGATATAACATCTTGTCGATATTTTTTATATTAATAGCTTATGACATTAAATCATGGCAACACGAGCTGATTTACCTTTGATTAGAAAAAAAAAGAACGTGCAATTAACTAATTGTTAGAAAGACGAAAATAGAACCTGAGCACTTTTGAAGAGTTCTAATGGTACTCAAATTTGAGACGTTTTGCTTTAGGAATGTTTTCATTTTTTGTTTATTAAATAATATTAAGTCGGTATTCATTGTAATGAATTGTGAGAATGATTTCACGTATGTCGGCGGCATTCAATATGATGGCGTCTTGCGCCATCGGCACCTTCAGAAGTTTCTTTTTCTTTTATTACAATATGGGAACCACTTATGATAAGAACTTTTTAGCAATAACATTTCCAATCGAAATGATTACCTTGACTTTTTTGTTTTTTACTTTAGATTTGATAAAAGAAATCTGTTAATGTAATCTTTGAATCGGGACTTAAAACTGGTCCCGTAATATTTTCTGTTCCAGAACTAGACTACCTATTTCCATACTTATTATTCTGTTCTGACTAATGATCTACAAATAGGCCTTTTTTATTTATGTATGCTCAGGTCGAGAAGTACGAGTGGGTTCCGGCAGAAAAACACTGGAAGTCATTGGAACAGGGTGGCAGTATTCCGGCCGGACACTTTTCGGATTTTTTCGGTGTCTTCCGATCAAATTCCTCCCGTTTTCTTCAGGAATTTGTCCAGAAAAAATCCGAAACTTTTCCGGCCAGAATACTGTCACCCTGTTTCGGCGACTTTCAGTGTTTTCGTGCAGGATACGGTGAATTTTCCCGCATCTTTCCTACAGGATCCAGTGACCGGAATCTTCGACCTAGGATTGTTAATTTCTCAAAATCATCAATATTCATTTTATATATATTCAAAAAATCATACAGATTATAAGAAAAGTCGTTTTTTTTTCTAGAAACAATAAAAAGTTTTAAATTGAAACCAGGACCAAAAAAAGAAAAGATGATCCCACCGATACCTAGTTGTTAATCATCGATTAATTGTTTTATTCGATCTCTTTTAGGATATATTTTTACTTAGTTCCTATACAAATATAATAAGATATTTAAGTATTAAGAAAATTAATAATATTCATAAGTTAATATTTACTTTTTCTTTTTCATGTAATTGTTTTTGTGCATTAATTAATTCATATTTAAGTGTATTTGTATGTTCAATTAACTCATTATAACGTTCACGTAAACGTAATAATTCAAATTCAAGTTCAATATTTTTATTCTAATATAAAATATATTTATATAAAAAAATTTATTAAAAGAAATTTATTCATCATACGTCAATATTTGATTTTCATTTGTTAATTTCATAAGATTTTGTTTATTAATATCATCTAATCGTTGACTACATGTTAGAATATGTTTATGTAATACATCACATTTTAATTTAAGATTTTCCATATGACCTTTAATTCCTTCATCTGAATTATCAAACTAAAAAATTATGAATATTTTAAATATCAATCCAAAAAAAAAGAATGCAATTATACTGTTTGTTCAAATTGAATAGTTTTTTTTTCTCTGTAATTTCAAGTTCTTGACGAACAAGATCAATTTCACGCTCAAGTGAACGTTGTTGAATAATAGAAAATAATTTTGTTTGTTCAATATCTGATATATTTTGTGATTTTTCCATCGAATATTATTTAAATTAAATTTTACTTTTTTTTTGTTTTTAAATTTTAATAATACATACTAAATATTTTAAAAGATCATTTTCTTCTTGTTGCATAGTTTCAAATACTAATTGATGTATAGATAAAGATGATAATGTTGTTGTTGTTGTTTTTTGTTGATCCAATTTTTGATTAATATATGTTACAATATAATCAAGTTTAGAACGAAATGTTTCAATTTCATGTTGTAATTCAATATTTTGTTCCATAAATTTTTTTGATAATTCTTCAGCTTCTAATAAAATATAGAATTGAATTAATTAATTATTTCTATTCTCTATGAAAAGTTTCAAAATACAAAAAAAAAAAAAATTAGTCTTTCTCATATTTAAGAAATGATAAATTAATATTATTATATTTGTTAGAATATATCTAAGAATAAAAGTGAATGTTTTATCTCAAAAGTATACAAGTCAACATATATTTATCAGTATTTTAGTATCATTAGAAGATAATAAGAATGAAGCAAAGATCTTCTATAGTGAATTTTTTACTATAATCTTGATATCAAATATCAATTTTTTTCTAGGAATGATAAATTTACATTTAAAAAAAAAAGAATTGCTAAAATTAGAAGTAACTTAACAGGAAAAAGGGAACTACGATATTGAATTACAAGCCTACCGTAAGAATATAACATTCTCCGTTTAATAATGATCTTTAATTCTAACCGAGAATTTTTTTTTTCTTCTCTTCTTATGTCCATCACCAAAACTATAGTTGGGATATATTTAGTGTTTAATTCATTGAAGGATTTCTTTCGTTAGTAAATGAACTTAAGTAATAGCTGTCTCATTCGATCTTATTGTTTAACCTCAGACGAATCCGTACAACTAATTATAATAATAATTGAGAAGTTCGATATACGATAGTTTTTACTAAAGATATATCTTCTTTGTTATTCGATAAACAACAATAAAAAGTATACAATAGAAGAAACCATCAACTACGACATTATTATTATTACATGTAACTAATGTCCATTTCAGAGTTAAATGGACGTGAGCATTTTTTGAATAACTTTTGATAGGAACGAGTTAGAGATCTCCGGTTTTCACCGTTGGAAAGAGCAGATGAAGACGCATCGAATTATATATATAGAAAGATTTTTCTAACTACTTTCCTATAGGTTTTATATAAAACTTCAAGAAAAAACAGGATGCTTCTCATGGTCATGATATCAACTTGTTGATTTTCAAGAGTGCTCTAGAATGGCCAAAGGAAGAGCTACAAAACTATATCAAGACGCTGTTCCTAACTACTACCAGTATGATATGTAAACCATCGGAACACAATTTACCACCTCATTTTTTTTCAACAAAATAATCGAAAAATGTAAATTTTTGTCGTATTTTGATAGAAAAGCCAATTTTTTAACATATGAGAAAAAAGCAATTCTTTGAAAACTTTTGACTAAACCTATAGGAAAATAGTTTAAAAAAATCTTTATAGTTCGATGCGACTTCATCTGTTCTTTCCAACGGTGAAAATTGGAGATTTCTATCTCGTTCCTATCAAAAGTTATTCAAAAAATGCCCACGGCCATTTAACTCTGAAATGGACATTAATAAATGTTGTACAGTTTTGACTCATATTTAACCTATTTTATTTCATTGCTTTATTCTAAACAAAATTCTAAGTACGGGAATTTAACTAATTGATGTATGTTCTTATACAGAAGCATAACTCTTACAAAAAAAAATTGAATTTTTGTTTTGTGATTAATCTTAATGTTTATTATAACATTTACTTCAAATCTGCAATAGGTTTTTAGATTTAATCTTACTGCTAGTATATATGACTATAAGAAATCAAATATATAGATATTTTAGATATT